TCTTGAAACCATTTTCAGGCATATATTTCCGAGCAGAAGCGCTTGAATATCATCAATAACCGTTTTATTACCAATGCTGCTAGCCTTTGATTATTTATTGTAAACTATAATAACGCTCTCATTCGTCTTAAGATTAGAGATAGTTAATCTGTAGCAGAAGTATGAATGAAGCTCTCTTTAATCTGGATCAAGCGCTTCCGAGCTGACTATAGTGTTACTGCTGAAAGCATTAGCAACAAGAAGTGGCCTTATCTTATGGAAAAGCTGTTGGAGGTTCATCATGAAGTACTCTAGGAGGAGACTCAAGACTAACTTGCCTCCAGTGCTACCAACTTTCAACTTCATCAACAAGCTCAATTCCAAGATCCTTCTATGCTTCCATCTCAGCTAGTTCTTAACTAGATATAGCTCGTTTCTGTTCTACATCCGATACATAGTGCTCTCAGTTAACTGATGAACCTGTTGGAATAAGCAGTAGAGCTATTGTACTATTAACCGCCTTAATAGTTAATTCGTGATTGGCAAGCTCAGCTTGAACTGACTAAGCAGATCTTGAAAGCTGAATCTGCTTAGAAGAGCAACCAAGAATACAACCAGTTAGCTTCAATAATAAAGTAACTCTGCATTAACCAAATTGCAATAGCAAAATCCTTAAAGCTGCAGACTGATGCTTTCAAACAGATGCAGAATATCTTGTATAATCAAACCAAGGCTCTATAGGAGATCTTATAACTGATCAGGCATTCCCAAACTGTTTCTGCGAGGAATCCTTTCCAGGGGAATGCAAATTCCTTGCAGATGGGTATTACCTATACAAGTCCGGAGGATAAGGAGGAGCAGTACTCTGAAGCATAGCAAGCGGAGATTAATGAAATTCTGAAGAAGGATGGAACTCTGCGCAGATGCTACAGCTGTGGGTTGAAGTTCCATGGAGCTCATGAGTGCATAGAACTCCGTACTGTTATAAACTGTAGCATTTGCTATGCTCCAGTATTAGCGAAGCCAGAGTAGCATCTTAGCAATCGCTTGGAGTTTCTGGACTCTAGGTCAAAACCAGTGTTATATAGCCAGATTATGTCCGCTCGAGATAATCCCAAAGGCAGTATGATCCGTCTAATTCTTAGTTTCTGTGAGGATCAGCAGCTGAAGGGTGTTGAGGATTCTTGGATCTCTTGATATATCAGCCTGATTCAAGAGAACGAGAAATAGCGTAGAGACTCTGAGATAGCTAAGAATAAGACACTGTGGAAAGAAACCAACCCCATTCCTAGATGCAATAATTAGTATAGAACTAATAACATTGAGATCCTTAGCAATGCTGATGAAATTCAAGTGGGAAAGTCATATCTCACTCTAGCCCAAGCTGAACTATACCTACTAAAGCTTCCCAGCATTAATGCTGTAGATATTAGGCTTGTTCAAGCTCAGGTAAATGCAGGTAAAGCAAAGAAGCGCTGTATTAGGGAGGCTGGGTATGATAATGGTAAGATTGAAGGAGATGCAAGTGTGAGGACTGTTGAGATCTCTATACATTTTGGGAATATTGGATCAGAGGAATTCAATAAGCAATCCAACAGTCTGGATAGAGAGCTAACAGTTCAAGCTATTAGTAACAAGCTCCTGAATCAGTTCCTAAACCACTCGTTGAAGATCTCAGGCCGGGAGATAACAGTTATATTATCAGGATAAGGAGTTTATCTGATTCACAGTCTTCAAGAAGTCAGCTCTGAAGCCCGAAAAATTATTGATCTCAACAATCAAACCAGCTTAAACCTGCACAAGATAAATACTGCTGAATCAGCCAATTCATTACAGCATAAATCCGGAATCTTGATGCTTTTCTAGCTTAAAGAGCTTATTAATAATCAGATTATCAATACTCGGAACATTACTGAATACTTTTCAAGACTAGCTCAACTATCCGCAGTTCAAGCTTTGTCCCTTATTGCTGAATCTAGCTATATCAAGCTTACTGTTAACATGATTCAAGCTTTCAACAAATCCTCATTTCCTCTTGTAATAGCTTCCATAACTGCTCTTAGCAGCATCCGAGATAGGAGCATCGCTCTGATAGCATACATCCCTCTGCAGCTGAGAAGTAAAGAGAATAAACCTATACAAGTAATGCTGAATACAGATGCTGAAATAAGCTTGATAGCTCTTTCTCTATATTCGAGCATGCGCTTATCTTATATGCTAATATCGAATATTATCTTATGCACATACAATGAATCAGATATAGCGCTTGTTGAAATTCTTGAAACCGATATTTTCTGTAGCAGCTTCTCTGAATAAGTAATATTCTATATCATTAATAACAGATTGATGTTGCCAAATTATCCTATGCTATTAGAAATGCTGTTTATAATATAGATCAAGCTTTTCTTTAATCACTCCATTCTCGGATTTCTTCGTATAAGCTTCGCCTTTGAAGAAGTACAACTAGTTATTACAATCAGCAATCAGAAACTCCTTGAAGAGAAGAGTTCATACAGAACTATACCAAAAAACTGAGTGCTGGCAGCTACTCTGAGGAATGCAGGGCTATTAGCGAAGAAGTTGTTCCAGAGTGAGTGTTGTTAGAAGAGGGAGATATAGCTATGATATTCATATCTGAATGAGATATTGCAGCTGTTATAAACGAGTTAATAATAGAACTGATGGGGAGAAAGTTGAAGGAAGGTTGCTCTATAGTGAATAAGAAAGGAGCGATCCGAGGGTTTTGCTTGTATGGAATGCATAGCAGCTAGCGCTATTCACGCTAGCCACGTTGTATAGGGAAGGAAAGAAAAGATGTCTTAGGCCTGATTAATACTTTTTACAAGCTTAAAGATAAGAAAGTTAAGCTAATTAATAATTCCTAGCTTAATAGTTTAGTACTAGAAGGGATGATTGAGTGAAAGCCTGCTAAGGTTGAGGAGATGAGATGAGCTTAGCGATCTATAAAGCCTACCAAGTATGATAAGTGAATTGAACCCAAGTTCAGCGATCTGAATCCTGATTAGCGCCTGAGATCTGATTGGTGAGCTGCTATGCAAGAGAAAAACTGTGAAGGGTTTTCTGAAGCTGAGAAGGAAATGTTCAAATATATGTTGAGAAACAGGATCAAAGCTTTTGCATAAGACTTTACTGAGATTGGAAAGATCATTGAGGAAGTGGCTCCCTTGCAAGAAATCAGAACTGTACTCCATAAGGTCTTTCAAGCAAGGTATATTTCAATCCTCAATGCTCTTAAGCCAAAGTTGATGGAGCTTCTGAAACAATGTATTAAGCAGGAGATCATTGAGAAAAGCTATGCATTATACAGAAATAACTGGTTTCTTATTATTAAAAAGAATGATAGCTTATATCTAATTAATAATGCTCAAAAGTATAATAAGCACAGCTTCAAGGATGCCTTCATGCTGCCTGCTTCAGATGAATTCTTGGAGGAGTTCGCTATATGCAAGATTCTTTTACTACTTAACTTCTTTTCTGAATATAACTAAGTGCAACTGCATCCTAATAGCAGGGATATAATAATCTTCTTAACGCTCTTAGGCTTGTTCAGGATGTATACTCTACTTCAGAGTGCTACTAACTCTATTGCTCAGTTTATGAGAATAATAGTCAGACTTCTGTATAATCTTATTCCTTATATATGCTAGCCTTTTCTCAATAACATTCCTGTTCGTAGTTCTATAACAATCTATAGAAATGAAGAGATTCCGAGCCTTTCCGGAGTGCGTAGATATATTGCTAAGCACATTGGAAACCTTAACAAGGTTCTTATAAATGCAGAGCTAGCTGAAGCTATAATCTCAGCATTCAAGTCAGAATAATGCTAAATGAAAGTTGATATAGTTGATTATATCGTTGATTCCAGCGGATAATAACCTCAGAACAGAAAGGTGGAAAAGCTTCTAGCTTGAACAGAATGCAAGGATATCAAAGATATCCGTTCTTTCATTGAATTGATTGTTTATTATGCAGCTTGGATTTGGAACTTTGCAATCATTGCTCAACTACTCTACAATCTTCTCAAGAAAGGTATTGCATGGAGATGGAAGAAGAAACAGAAAGAAGCTGTTGCTATACTTGTTCAGATACTCACATCTTATCCAATCATCATTTCAATTGATTATAGCACTGATGCTGGGAAGATCGTTCTTATGGTGAATGCAAGCTTGTTAGGCTGAGGCATTGCACTGATGCAGATAGTAGAGAATAAACGAAAGCTAGCATGTTTCGTTAGCGGAATCTGAATAGTTGCAGCATAGAAGTACGATGCTACCAAGAGGGAATATTATGCTATCCTCTGTACTCTATAGTCTCTTCAGCAGCATTTCTATAATTGCTATTTTATTCTGGAAACTAATGCTTGCATTCTGATAAACTAATTCAATAAAGGAATGAATAATATATCCGGTGCTCTCCTGAACAGATGGGTAGCAGTGATTAAGATATTTGACTTTACTGTCAAATACATTCCCGGATTAAAGAATCCTGTAGCTAATGCTCTTTCTTAACCTCCATACTCAATGCTATCTAAGAAAGATAAAGATAGCAATGTTAAGAACTGGTATAATGCTTAGCTTAATAGTATAAACTTAGATAGAGCTGATCTAGTACTACTGCTAAATCCAATTCTTCAGTGGATGGAATAGTTGAAATAGTATGCAGAGTTCTTATGCTACAGGATCATTCCACCAAAACTTTCCAAGAGGGATTGCAAGAACTTTATAGTAAAAGCATTAAAGCATCAAGTACTTAATCAGGCTCTGTAGCGCTGCGCTAGTGCGAAACTCTTATACTAACAGGTAGTAGATAATTCTAATCTTTATTGCTGAATCATCAGAGAATATTATGCCAAGTTTGGATATCGAGATCGAGATTCTACAGTAGCTCGTATTAAGCAACTCTACTACTGGAGAGATCTCTGAATAGATGTGGCTAATGCTATCTCGGGTTGCAAGAAGTATGCAAAGTTCGATCTAAAGATATGAAAGGAAGGAGTGATCCCAATCCTTTCAAGTCAACCCTTTACAAGAATCAGCATCAACATTCAATATATAGCTGAGGATAGCGGTTACAGATACCTTGCGAAGGCTTGCTGTAATCTGACTGGCTATATGCTTGCAAGATCCCTCAAGAAAGCTATAGCTGCGGAAATGAGGAAGTTCATTTTGGAAGAGATCATTCTTGTATTCGGGTGCTCTCTCAAAATTACTATTAATGAAGAATCAGAAAACAAAGCTGAGATAGCTAAGATTATCAGAGCTCTTGGGATCCTGCTTGTTCAGATCTCTAGTTACAATCCTCATGCTTAAGAACAAGTAGAAGCTGATCATCTTTCCTTAGCAAGTGCTCTTGCTAAGCTAGCTAATGCTCAATCCTGGAGATGAAGATAGTACTTGAGATTTGCACTTTTCGCTAAAAGAACTACGATCCGCCAGTTGCATGAATACAGTTCCTTCTATTTGATTTTCGGTTGAGAGCTGCTTATTCCAATTGAAACTGAAATCCCAACGTAGAGAGTTCTTATATGAACCGAAGACTAATCTCCTCAGAAAGCATTTGAAATGCAGTTAAGAATGATTGCAGCTAAGGAAGATAATATATAGAAGGCAATTGAAGCTATTCAGGCATACTATCAAAAGATTGCAGTCAAAAGTCAAATGCAGAGTCTGGTACGAAAATCTCGACTGAATGTTAGAGATCTCGTGCTTGTTTATAATCATATCCGGAAAATAAGCTATTCGCACAATACTAAGATCTCTTATAAGTAAAAGAGTTTATATCTGATTGCTCAGATTCTAAACAAACATGCTTATAAGCTCAAGATCACAGATAGAGTTCTGCTAAAAAGCATATATTCAGCTATCAATCTCAAAAAGTTTGTACAGAATATGAATAGCATTTGGGAATCCGAAATGCTCATGCTCTGGAAAGAAGATATCAAGCTTCAACCTAGCCAATTATTAGCAGAAAAGCTGAATTTGATAAGAGCTTCCTAGCAAGGAGAACCAGATAATAATATTCTTGAAGTTCAGAAAGCAGATTCAAGCAACAACGCCACATTCTGGATTCCAGATATTATTGAGCACAACCCTATGCCTAGCTAAATCAGTTCTGATCCAGAGACTATCAATCTAGCAACTAAAGCGGATAATGATGCTGAAGATGGAAATAGAGTTAGTGATAATAAATATTTCATACAAGCAGCAGAGAAGAAGAAGCGAGAATAGAAGAAAGCAGATAGAAGTAAGATATTTATACCAATTCCAACTAAATCAGCATTCCTAGCTTGTAAGAGAGATTGATTTCTTTCTATTCATATTTCCTTTTTATTTACAAAACATATTTTCTTTTCATCTTTCCTATTCCATCTCGTATATTTTGCTAAAGGAGGAGGGACGAAGTATTGTCTGCTATCACTCGCTACAGAATACTGTAAACCCACCTAAAAATTTCAAAGCACTCAGCACAGAGCATGTTAACCAGCTTTGAAGCTATTTTTATTGTTCAAAAATTGCAGTATATTGGAATGCAATGCATGAAAAATGCAGAGCGCTGAAGAAATACTGCAATCTATAAAGATCCCTTACTTTTATACATCATTCTCATTATCAGAATATTCGTAAATATCATTCGATAGCTCTCTTCTTATTCTGTTTAGATTCATATTATCTATATTATCCGCTGAAGAATCGTTATTAAAAACAGAGGAAGAATCTTGAAACTGAACGGATTTAGCTCGTTTCTCAACACGAGATCCTACTACAGCCTTGCTCTTGCTTTTATTCTTGCTGCGAGATACAGGTTGTGAAGCTGTCTGCTCAAACTCAGATACTCCCTTCTTGAAAGCAGAAGAAGCAGTACTCTTCTTACTAATCTATACAAATAAAGTTAGCAGTAATCTTCTTAAGTATTGCAACCATAATCAGTTATAAAACTTACAGTATTCTATAAATATCATTTCCTTAGTACAAAAGAAACTCATTTAATCTGATTATACGCAATATCTTTATCCTGCATAAGCTTATATTAAGCTTTAATAATACGCTTAATGTTAGCATTAGAATTAACTTGAGAATCTATCTCAATTATACATCAAGAGCTAAGTTAGTAAAACGAGTGCTAATGCTGCAAGAAGAACAATAATTAGTATATATTTAAATCTGATCAAGAATATCAGAATAGGAATCTTACTTATATACTGCGCTCTTTAATACAAGGGAAGTCTTTGGTATAGTTATACTCAGATTCTGCATGATAAATGCAGTTGCTGCATTTCTCATTGAAGAAGCTCTTTATTAAGATGTATTCTAGGAAAAGCTAGTTAATATTAATCTGCTGCTCCTGAACAAGCATGCAAGCAGTAGCATACTAACAGGAGCAGCAATTGCAAGGAACTAGGTTACGCTGATCATAGAACTGAACAAGAAGGGAATTTACTTGCTCAGATCAGGAGAAGATGCGGGTAAAATACTCGCCGAAGGGCTTCCAACCAGCTTTATACACTACAATAGGATTCAGTTTGATAGAATCCTTATTATTCAGCCTTGCGAAATAAGCAGCAAAGCCAGAGCTTAGCAGTGAGTTGTTCCAAAACATAATATCGCTTTGAATATCCCAAGAAGCGTATATCAAGCCAAGATCTCCCTTAATGATATTGAAGTTTATAATATCAAGGAAATCAACATAAACATCCTTAAGCTAGTAGTAGTTGCTGCTCTGAGAAGGAGGAACCGAAGAAGAAAACCAGATCCAGATCTTATCAACCTCTTGAGAAGCAGTATTTACCCGCAAAGAGAAAACAGCATCAGTAACGATTCGAGACATCTTGAGTGTATTGCAGAGCTGAGCAAGGAAAGATTAACAGAAGGAGAAGTTATTGTATAAAGAATGAATTGAAAAGCAAGGTGAACTGAGGGAGAGATTGTTGAACAGTTTGCTGAAGGTTGATAAGATGGCAATGAGTAACAAATACACCCAACTAAGTTACTATGCCTTCTATCCAGTCTGTTACTGGATAGCTCCTACCTAGCTAAGAGTGAAGCTGTTTGCTTTGTAACAAACGGAAAGCAGTGAATCACTTGAGTAGTTACCAAACAAGATAAATTAGCTATTCTATTTACACTCGCAGCCAGCTATTCTTCTTCCTCCTTCAACCTCTTTACAACCACCTTTCTCGAGCATATACACACCCTTTTTCTTTCTCATTAACACTGCCCCAGATCTATACACCAATATCAAAGCAAATTATCAACTGCTCTGCTTATATAACATTATCTTCTTCAACAGATTCTCAGGCTGAAGCTGCATTCTTCTCTACCTTTCTTTCTTAGTTAATACCCTCTCAGTCTCTTAACTTTATACCTTCGCAAATCTCTCTTGCAATTGCTCACCTTCTAACAAAGCTGTTCTTCTCTTTTCACTTTCCTTTCAACTTAGCAGCAATGGCCGAATTCAAGTACTTTCTGTTCCCACCTATTCAGCATAGCTAAGAGAACTGGATGATCAAGGCTTACTGCTTTCAGACTGTCTTTTCCAAAGCGCTATACCCAACTGAAGTAATCAAGAATCATCCGCTCTACTTCAGTCTAAGGGACGAAGAAAATCATCTAGCAGCAGAACTCATTGAGAAGTACTTTCCAGAGTTACTCCCTTGCAAGTTGTATTTGCTTACAATCTTCGATGCCAATCCTTCCAGATATCTTCTCGATATCTATGATCTGGTTGAATTCTTAGATGCAGGAGTTTCTCAAGATATTAGTCTGCAGCATGCTGTGGCTGCTTTTCGTTATTATGCTCAGTATAATCAACAAGATGTATTCTTGATGGGATGCCTTCGTGTTCTATTAATAGCTTATTCACCTAGCTCTTCTGATATTCTCAATAGGGAGGATCTGCTCAGATATGAGGCTAGACAGAGGCGCTTATGAGTTCTTTTCTCAGTTAATACAGCAACTTCAGCTTGTGCTCTGTCTTAGCTTGATATGAAGACTGAAAAAGGATTTTACATTACTGTATACAAATCCAGCGATATCCTACTAGCTTATGCAAGCAAGCACTATCTGAATAATCAGCTCAGAAGTGCTGAAGCTAATCGGAATTGGGATTTCGAGAATGTTTCAACTATGCTGCTGGATAATAATTTGAATGCAGCTCTGCTCTATGCAATCGAACTATTTCGCCTTCGAATTCTGAAATCTACTGATTTCTATCAATTATCTAGTAGCTATCCAGACTGAAGGCAAGCTCTCTATCTTAACTATAGAGAAACTGTACAAAATGTGGAAGAATAGGATGCAGAGATGGCTATAACAAGCCTGCACTGCTAGGCCTTCTCCTATAAGCTGGGATACAGCAACTATACGCAATATCCTGATCAGCTATTAAGAAGGAGTGCTTCATTTCAAGAATACAAAGCTATACAAGTAAAAGCTGATAGAGTACTGAACATAATCTATAAGCTGAATATTATCTTCTTCGTAGGAAGAGTTGCAAACTTGCCTGAACTGTCTATTGAAGGCGATCTCGATAGAATGAGAAGGAATATATCAGCCTTTGTTCTGGAGAATTTCAGAGCGAGTAGAGCATTCAGCCTAGTTCCGTTAAGACAATAGTTCCGAGAGAGCACAGCTCCAGCTAGCCCAATCTTGCATTCATCAAGAGAATATAGTATCAGCTCAGAGTTAAGTTAACTCCCATCCGGAACTCCTACCAATCCTTACTTCTCTTCATCTCAAGAAACATCTATTGATTCAGAACTAATAATCAACCTATCAATACAGCAAACAGCTAAGCCTGAACATGCTACTGAAGCCTTATTGCATCAGAGACTGAGAAGCAGCAATATTATGCTTCCCAGTTTTCCTAATAAACCTCAGAAGCCTTATATGCTTCTATGGAATGAGCTTCATAGCTTTAATCCTATTAGGCTCTCAGTGGATTCTCCGAACTGAACAGAGTTTGATCATACTATTAAGATGAATATGTATAAAGCGAACTGCAAAAAGATCCATTGAGTGAGAATGCAGAATCAGGAGAGAACTGCTGCTGCTGCTGCTGCTCGAGCAGAGTTTGAGAGCAGACGGGAACAGAGAAGAGATTAGCATTAGGATCTATCCAGGTTGTACTCGTATTACAAATGAACTGAAGATGAATACTAATACTCCTGCATTGATTTGAATAATAGCTCAAGCAATAGGGAGAAGCATAAGGATTGAATTGGAAGAATGGTTTGGTTTGCAGTATTTCCTTTAGCAGTTTGCAATGAATTCTTTATTTCTTTACTTCATCTCCCTCTGATCAGACCTAGCACACCATTGGACTTGTTGCAACTTTAGAAGAAAGTTGCTGGGGGAGGACTGTTGTGATGGCCAGAGTGGTAGTCCGTGGAACATGGAGTACAGTGGGTCAAGGGTTCTCATACATATAAAGGATACCACCCACTTTTCAAATTCTTTAGCTATAAGCAACAAAAAAAGCATCCTTTCTCTTCTTTTAAATTTTGAACCCTTTGGACAGGTCTAAGACAGGTTTTTCACCCTGTTCTTGTGCCCGCGTAGCCTTAGTTTGCTGTCCTCATCTGTACAGGCACGCTTGGGTTGCACGAGCCCTTGCCCATTGCTTCAGCAGCTGTTTGTCCCTTTTTCTTTCGAGGGCGACGGCGCCCTAGTTCTGGTTCACTGGGTTTGAGCAAGCAGCTTTACAATCTGTATCTTGCAGCAAGAATAAAAGCAAGAGCAAGGCTGTAGTAGGATCTTGTATTGAGAAACGAGCTAAGTTTGTTCAGTCTCAAGATTCTTTCTTTGTTTTTGATAACGATTCTTTAGCGAATAATATGAATAATATAAATCTGAATAGGATAAGAAGAGAGCTATTGAATGATATTTATAGATATTCTAGTAATAAGAATGATATATAAAAATAAGAAGTTTTCATAGATTGCAGTATTTCTTTAGCGCTTTGCATTTTTCATGCGTTATATTCCAATATACTGCAATTTTTGAATAATGAAAATAGCTTTAAAGCTAGTTAACATGCTCTGTACTGGATGCTTTGAAATTTTTAGATGGGTTTATAGTGTTCTGTGGCGAGTAGTAGCAGATAATACTTCGTTCCTTCTCTTTCAGCAAAATATACGAGATGAAATAGAAAAGATGAAAAGAAAATGTATTTTGCAAATAAAAAGGAAATATGAATAAAAAGAAATCAATCTTCTTTATGAGCTAGGAATGCTGATTTAGTTGGGATTAATATAAATATCTTACTTCTATTTGCTTTCTTCTGTTCTTGCTTCTTCTTTTCTGCTGCTTATATGAAATGTTCACTATTACTAACTCCATTTCCATTCTTAGCATTATCATTTGCTTTAGTTGCTAGATTAATAATCTTTGAATTAGAAATGGTTTGGCTAAGCATAGGATTGTGCTTAATAATATCTGGAATTCAGAATGTAGCGTTGTTGCTTGAATCTGCTTTCTGAATTTCGAGGATATTGTTATCTGATTTCTCTTACTAGAAAGCTTTTATCGAATCCAGCTTTTCTGCTAATAGTTAGCTAGATTAAAGCTTAATATCTTCTTCTTAGAGCATAAGCATCTCAAGTTCCCAAATGCTATTCATATTCCGCATAAACTTTTTGAGATTAATAGCTGAATATATGCTTTTTAGTAAAACTCTATCTATAGTTTTAAGCTTATAAGCATATTTATTTAGAATCTGAGCAATCAGATATAAACTCTTTCACTTATAAGAGATCTTAGCATTGCATAAATAGCTTATTTTCCGAATATAGTTATAAATAAGCACAAGATCTTCAATATTCAGTTGAGATTTTCGTATTAAACTTTGCATTTAACTTTTAGCTGTAATCTTTTGATAGTATGCTTAAACAGCTTCAATTGCCTTCTATACATCATCTTTCTTAGCTGCAATCATTCTCAACTGCATTTCAAACGCTTTCTAAGGGGATTGGTTTTCGGTTTATATAAGAACTCTCTATATTAGGATTTCAGTTTCAATTAGAATAAGCAGCTTTCAATCGAAAATTAAATAGAAGAAGCTGTATTCATGCAACTAGCGGATTATAATTCTTTCAGCGAAGAGTGCAAGTTTCAAATACTGCTTTTATCTTCAGAGTTGAGTATTAGCTAGCTTAGCAAGGATATTTGCTAAGAAAAGATAATCAGCTTTTACTTGTTCTTGAGTATGGAGATTATAACTAGAGATCTGAATAAGCAGAATCTTAAGAGCTTTGATAGTTTTAGCTATTTCAGCTTTGTTTTCTGATTCTCTGTTAATAGTAATTTTGAGAAGATACTCGAATACAAGTATTATGACCCATCCAACATGCAGGTCACAGAACAGGTCACGAGTAACAGGAACCAGGTATCAAGGACTCAACGTCTGACAAAGCATTGATTACATAACCTAGGGTTAGGGTTGTAAAGGAGGGAGGATCGTTGGGCTCGCTAGCGATCCCAACGAGTTTCACACCTTGGATCGCTAGGCTCGCCAGCGATCCCAACGAGCCATACTGAAGAGCTGAATATATAAGAACACATTCATTACCATTAGATAGATTCAGTACATAGCTCTTCAATTATCAATCTAAGTATCAGATTACTCTCTACTCTGATAGCTCCAAAGGCAGTAAATACTTGCATCGCTTATTGAGATTTGTACAATTCCGTATTCAAGAACTTAACACTTTGATACTGCTCTTATTAGCATAAACCTCTTCATATACTTAGAAATCTTCGGATTACTGCAGTGCTCATTACATTTTAACAACTCTTGTTCAAGAACAGTTCAGTATTACTCCTTAAGCAATACGGAATACAATAGCTTCTCCAGGAATCCCTTTGTTCCTGCATGCTTCCACTCAGGAAGAACTGATTAATCAGATGTATTAGCTCATTCAGCATATCCAGAACCTGTGCAAGCAATAGCAGGCTCAGAGCGCTACTATCGCTAACTAATAAGCTCAGCTAGCTTAACAAGCTCAGCAGATGCAGTTCATCTCTGCAACCACCAGTAGCGCTGAAAAGGCATATAAGATGAATAAGCTTGCTATATATAACAGCAATCAGAAAATGCTGCATAAATTCCTTATCCACTGCAGAGTATATTTCTTGCATTATATAACTCAGTTTACTATAGAATCTGAGAAGATTATTCTTGCAGAAACTTATTTCGAAAAGAATGCTCTTATTTAATACAAATCTTCTCTATACAACTACTTGAAGCATTAGGATAATCCCAATATATATATCCAGAGTATTAAGAATATGTTCGATTCCTTTGAAAGCTTCGAGAAAGCTCTTAAAGAGATCTTTGGTAATCCCAATAAAGAATGTACTACAGCTCAGCAGCTTATGAATCTCAAACAAACCAAGTTAGCTTCTGCTTATACAATCAGATTCAAGCAATTCTTAGTACAACTTCTGTAGAAAGATAAGAATCTTATGAAGTATTATTACAAGGGATTTAAGAATAATGTTAAGAATGAGATCTCCAAGCAGAATTAGCTAGAGAACTTTGCAATATTCTCTAACCAAGCAATCTGTATTAACAACTGTCTGTATAAGCAACAAGTAAAGAAATTCAAGAAGAGAGGAAGCTAGATTTGGAAATTTTCAGCTAATATAAGCAAGAAACTTTAAAATAAGAATAGCAGCTGATATAGCAGTACAGCTCAGAGCAGCACTATGCATACTGATCCCATAGAACTCAATATAGCTAACAAGCAGTATAGCAAAAGGAATAGCATTATCTGCTACAACTATAACAAATAAGAATACATTGCATGCAACTGCTATTAATTCCAGAAAAACAAATAGCAATCAGTTCAGAAAGAATGCTAGATGAATATTGCTCAATAACAGAAATCCAATCAACTAAGCAAAAACATTTCCTTAGAGCAAGTATTGAATTCTGTTAATTACAGAAATCTCAGCTGAACATTCTGCTATAATAATAACTGCTTAATATATCTCTCGAGTAAGGAAAGTTCAGGATGGTTTCCTCAGAAATCTAAGCGCTGCAAACAAATAGCAACAGCAGGACGAGAATGCACGCTCAGCACTCCCATGAGTGGCAACTCGGACTGCTCTGATATCGCGGAATAGAGTATTTAGGCGTTGGAAGAAGAATTTAGCAACAATACCCTTTAATATTCTTTATCGCTTATGCTAAGCATTATAATCAGGGATATGAATAAGGAATAATACCCTCTTAGTTATTAATATGAATATCTAAATAATACTGAGAACGCTTCTCAGATAACAGAAAGATTAAGCTAGAACGAACAATCTAATAATTCACTGAAGTCTCTTGTAAACAATAAATCCAAGAAGCTTACAGAAAGATTCTCCTTTAGTATTGAATAGAACAAGGAAATAACATGAATTGAATATCTTGTTTATAGAATAGAACTAGAGAAGCTCTTTATCTGCATTCCCTTGCAGAATATCGAAGCACGAGAAGATAAGAACCCTCGGATCAGCTTACTTCACAACTTACATTATGAACTAGCTTGAATCTCCTGCATCTATTATAGCTGCAGAATGCATTTCTCGAATAAGATGCAATACGAATGATTCCCTATTAGAAAACTAGAACAAATTCTTTAAGCTATTAAAGAATAGAAACTCCGCTTCAGAAAGGTTCTCAACAGATAGCACTACAATATATATATCGGATTATCAGATAACTGCTTCAAGCAATGCATAAATAAGAAGATAAAATGGTAGCAGTATAAAATAATACTTTGTACAATTTATATTAATAACAAGATTTGCAATTAGCATTAATAGAAGAAAGATTAGAAATAATAACAATATAAGCAAAAGCAAGCTAAGAAGCTTGCTTAAGAAGCAGCAAAGCAGGCTCAGAAGAATAAGCAGTTCTTAACGAATTCAAAAGAACAGAATCGTTTGTAAAGAGATTGCAGATGATTAGACTGAAATAGTTCCTATATAAAGCTTTCAGAACAGATTATGCTTATATTAAGTTCAATATATATATTCAAGAACATAAATACAGCATACTATTGAATAGTAGCGCTCAGGGAAACTTTATATTCCCATACATTATCAATCAAGTATAACTACAATAGAGATGGAAGAGGCGCTTATACACTCTCAGCACTGTAGAAGAATAATCTATTGCATATAATCAAGAAGTAATCAATAAGAAGACTAATCATCTATCTATCTTGATTCAAGAATGTATAATCAGAGCTTCTTTTGATATTACGAATATAGTACAACATAAGCTGATTATGGAACTTCTATAGCTCAAGAAGCACAATTCTCGAATCGATTGAACTACTAGCCAGATCTCATGGGAACAAGCTGTACCCAGAGAGATAGTTATAATTAACGATGCAGGATCGAAGCTAGTTATTGAAGAATACTCGGAAAAAGAAGCTTCAGATAACTTTATATATACTTTCAAGTTAGCAGAGCTGGCAGTTCAAAAAGAAGAACCTAGTAACAAGCGAACTCAAATAGTGCTAGAGTGCTAACAGATTAGCAAAACAATAGAAGCGAGATTCTCAGCAAGTTGGTTTGCTTCAGAGCAATAAGAAAAAGCTTCAGAATGTGAATTATGAATCCATACAGGAAAAACCTCGAAACTAAGCTCTCGAGTAACCGCTCCAGCTCGGAGCGAATGCTCAAGGCTCTCAAAAACGTTACTAAAAACAACGAACGAAAAGAAGCACACTCAACAGTACCTACTGTTCCTCCAGATAGCAGAAACAGCACAAGAATCAGAACCAACACTCGCAAACATATCATAAGAATATTATAAGTTCAAGAAACTATTCCAGAAAGAATTGAATACAGGATTGCTAGAATACAGCTCATATGATTACAAGATCTCGCTACAAGAAGAGAAACAACCCAAATTCTTCCCTATTTACAGACTAAACAAAGCACAGCTAGAAGCACTTAGGAAGTATCTCGATGAGAATCTTAAGAAAGAATATATATAATCATTGCAATTACCAGCAGAATACCTCATCCTGTTTGTACTTAAGAAGAATAGCAAGCTTAGGCTATATATTGATTACAAGCAACTTAATGATATTACAATCAAAAACCAATATTCATTGCTATTCATTAAGAAACTACGAGATAGATTGCAAGAAGTATAGTAGTTTACAGTTCTGAACCTAAAAGAAGCTTATAATCTAATCAGAATAAAGAAAGGAGAGGAATGGAAAACTATCTTCAGAATATGCTATAAATACTACGAATATTTGATTATGCTCTTTAGTCTAATAAATGCCTCAGCTTCATTTCAGAAAATGATCAATTATATTCTATACAAGCATCTGAATCAGTTCATCATTGCTTATCTCAATAATATCCTTATCTACTCTTGAATACTTGAAGAATACAAGGAATATGTGGAAACAGTATTGCAAATGCTTTAAGATACAAAACTCCTTATAAAACCCACAAAAAATTACTTTCATATACAAAAGATTGATTACTTCGAATTTATAATCGAGCTAGAATGCATTAAGCTACAGAAAGATAAGATAAAAGCTGTTAGAAATTAGCCAATTCTCAGAAATATCAGAGATATTAGATTTTTCCTCGGATATATCAACTTCTACAAGCAGTTTATTAAGAACTATAGCTGAATCGCATACCCTCTTACAAATCTTATCAAAAAAGAACAGCTTTTCAAATAAATCTCTAAAGCATAAGAAGCCTTTGATAAGATCATCAAGCACATTATCTCAGAATCAGTTCTATATAAAGCAGATTCCTACAAACCCTTTGAAATTGAAACTGATGCATCAGAATATGCACTTAGAGAACAACTTGATTAATAAGATAATCAAGAGTATCTAAGAATTATAAACAACTTCTCAAAGAAGTTGAATAGCTCGGAAATCAACTACAGAATCCCTAATCAGGAATTCATAGCAATAGTAAAAGCCTTCAAGAAGTAGCAATACTATTTTATTAGCATACAGTATTCAATTATAGTTCATTCAAACTATAAGAATCTAACTACGTTCATAATAACTAAGATTTTGAATAAGTAATAAGTTAGATGAGCAGAATTCCTTTTACAGTTCGACTTCAAGATTATACACTGCAAAAGCTCGGAAAACAAATAAGCAGATGCTCTTAGCAAAAGATTAGATCATCGAGATGCAGATTCTTTGAATATACAGAATATCTTCGCTTAAGATGAATCAGGAAATCTTGTTAATGTATATAGAGAACTGAATGCTGCTCTCAGAATCGGATCCTCAGAAAGGAATTCAGAATTAATAACTCCAGACAAACAAAATAACTATATCAAGAATATACATAGCATACCAGCATACGGATATCAGAGAGTTAGAGCAATCTACAAATATATCAAAAGATACTAGAACTTATTAGATCTTAGGAAAAGAATTGAAAGCATTCTATAATAATGCAATAGCTGCAAGAAGAATAAAGTAGAAAGATACAAATCTTACAGACTACTGCACTTCTTACTAGTACTTACAACTATTTAGCAATCCATCAGTCTAGACTTTATTATCAAGCTATTTCTTTTATAAAAACTCTTAACTAAGATGCAATACAATAGCATTTTAGTAGTAGTTTGCAAACTGAGCAAGTATGCTTACTTTCTCTTTTATAAGGAAAGCAGTATAGCAAAAGAACTCGCATATGCATTTCTTAGAATAATTATTGCTAATCATAGCATGCTAGAAGAAGTAATTTCTAATAGAAATAGAAAGTTCAACTCGAAATTTTAAACTTTACTTATGAAACAGCTCGGAATACACTACAGAATATCTACAGCATTCTATTTATAAATAGATAAACAAACAGAAAGAATGAATTAGATTATTAAATAATATCTTTAATACTATATCAACTAGAAACAGAATAACTGAATTAATCTATTACTCCTTATACAGTTTGCTTATAATAGCGCAGATACAAGCATAATGAAGAAGTTATTATTCTTCATACTCTATGAATACAATCCAACAGCTTATTACAAAGCACTGCTAGAAGCAGATATAGAAGCTGCAAATAAAAGAGTTAAAAAGATTAAGAAAGTTCAGAAGAAACTCTGATTAGAATTACAATTCGTTCAAGAACAAATAATGCAATATGCAAACTCCAAAAGAATTGAGGAACTAATCCTATAGAAGGAAGATAAGATCTACCTACTTCGGAAAAACATTAAAACAACCAGACCCAGCAACAAACTCGACTATAAGAAATTGGAGCTATTCAAAATCTTGCAACAGATCTTCCCGATTAACTATAAGTTAGCATTATCTCATAGAATGAGAATACATCCGGTTTTCTATATCTTACTGCTGAAACTAGCAGCACAAAAAATACTAATAGATAATACAGCAGAAGTGGAAAACAATGAATCAGAGTACGAAATAGAGAAGATTTTCAAATACAGAAGCACAGACAATACAAGGGAATACCTCATCAAGTGGAAAGGATACTCAGCAAGCGAAAATTCATGAGAACCACAGAAGAATGTTAAGAATGCTTAGGAAAGAATAGCTGAATATTAGAAAAGAAAGGAAACCAGTACCTAAGATGATCGCTCCGCTCCGGACCGAAACCCAGAAGCCTCGGAAACCTCACTCTCCAGAAAGCTCAACCAATCTACCACAGAATTCCTCAGATTCACAGAATTCCAGTCAAAACCCTCAAAAGAAGAATCTCCAACTATAACAGCAGATTCCTCAGCCACCACAGCCTGCACTTCAGCAGCAATACGAACCCTCTCAGCCTCAGCCTCCTCAGCCTCCTCTTTCTCAAGCTCTTCGAGATTCTTGAAACCCCGACGAATAGCCCGAGACATCCTCTTACGCTACATCTTCTTTTGTTAATGCAGTCAAAGCAACTTTAACTCCAACTCTTCTATCTCATCCTCCAGCTTTCGATGCTGAATAGAAGTAAGAAGGAGTTCGGCAGCATTCATCAGCTCCAGAACGTTACACTTAGCGCGATTCTGGGAAACGCACTCCGAGCAACGGGATGAATCGTGAGAAGAAACGATATACGATTGCAGGCCTCAACTGTCGCAATAAGAACAAGAATGCATATCGAAACTGTTTGAAAGAATAGACTGAAAAAGGAGATCTTTCTGCTTCTTTTTGTTAGAACGAGAATTCAAGGATTTCGGTTTCGCAACTTTGTTAATTCTGTTCAGCATCTCGATTAGGAAAGCAAGATTATGAATACATAGACTTGCCAGAATATTTACAGAAGATCATTGGAAACAACAACTGATAGGAAAGAGATGATATTATAACCCATCCAACATGCAGATCATAGAACAGATCACGAGTAACAGGGATTAGATATTAAGGACTCAACATCTAACAAAGCATCGATTACATAACCTAGGATTAGAGTTGTAAAGAAGGGAGGATTGTTGAGCTCGCTAGCAATCCCAACGAGTTTCACACCTTGGATCGCTAAGCTCGCCAGCGATCCCAACGAGCCATACTGAAGAGCTGGATATATAAGAACACATTCATTACCATTAGATAGATTCAGTACATAGCTCTTCAGTTATCAATCTAAGTATCAGATTACTCTCTACTCTAATAGCTCCAAAGACAGTGAATACTTGCATCGCTTATTGAGACTTGTACGGTTCCGTATTCAAGGACTTAACACTTTAACACCGCTCTTGTTAGCATAAACCTCTTCGTATACTTAGGAATCTTCGGATTGCTGCAGTGCTCATTACAACAAGAATGATTTCTTCCAAAATAAACTTCTTCATTTCTGCAGCTATAGCTTTCTTGAGGAGTTTTGCAAGCATATAGCTGATTAGATCATAGCAAGCTTTCGCAAGATATCTGTAACCGCTATCCTCGGCTATGTATTGAATATTGATGCTGATTCTCGTAAAGGATTAACTTGGAAGAATCGGGATTATTTCTTCCTTTTACATCTTTGGATCGAACTTTGTATACTTTTTGCAATCTGAGATAGCATTAGCTATATCTATCTAGAGATTTCTCCAGTAGTAGAATTGCTTGATATGAGCTATTATAGAATCTTAATCTCAATATTCAAATTTAGTATAATATTTTCTAATAATTTAGTAATAAAGATCAGAATTATCTATTACTCATTAGCATAGAAGTTTCGCATTAGTGCAGCACTATAGAGCTTGGTTAAATACTTGATACTTTAATGCTTTTATTATAAAGTTCTTGCAATCTCTCTTGGAAAGTTTTAATAAAATAATTCTATAATATAAGAATTCTGCATACTATTTTAACTATTCCATTTATTGAAGAGTTGGATTTAGCAGTAATACTAGATTAGCTTTATCTAAGTTTATACTATTAAGCTAAGCATTATACTAGTTTTCAATATTGCTATCTTCATTTTTCTTAAATAGCATTAAGTATAGAGATTAAGAAAGAGCATTAGCTACAGAATTCTTTAATTCGGAAATATATTTAATAGTAAAGTTAAATATCTTGATTACTGCTATTCATCTATTCAGAAGAGCATCGAGTATATTATTTATTTCTTTATTGAGTTGATTTATTAGAATACAAGTATTGGTTTTCAGAATGAAATAGTAATTATAGAAATGCTGCTGAAGAGATTGTAGAGTACAGAGAATAGTGCAATACTCTTTCTTGATAGTATTGTATTTCTGTGCTGCAACTGTTCAGATTCCGCTAATGAAATATACTAGCTTTTGTTTATTCTCTACTATCTGCATTAGTGTAGCGCTTCAGCTCAATAGGCTTGCATCTACTATAAGAATAATCTTTTCAGTATTAGTGCTATAATTAATTGAAATAATGATTGAATGAGATGTGAGTATCTAAATAAGTATAGCAACAGCTTCTTTCTGTTCCTTCTCTTATCTTTATATAATATCTTTCTTAAGAAGATTGTAGAGTGATTAAGCAATGATTACGAAGTTCCAAATTCAAGCTGTATAATAAATAACTAGTTTGATAAAAGAGCGGATATTTCTAATATTCTTGCATTCTGTTCAGACTAGAAGCTTTTCCATCTTTCTGTTCTGAGATTATTGTTTGCTGAAACTGATAATATAACTAACTATATCGATTTTTACTTAGCACTATTCTAACTTGAATGCTAAGATTGTAGCTCTAGCTAGCTTTGCATTTACAAGAATCTTATTAAGATTTCTGATATACTTAGCAATATACTTATGCACTCCAGAAAGGCTTGGAATCTCTTTATTTCCATAGATTGTTATAGAATTATAAACAGGAATATTATTAAGGAAAAGCTAGTATATATAAGAAATAAGATTATACAGAAGTCTAATTATTATTCTTATAAACTGAGCAATAGAGTTAGTAGTATTCTGGAGTAGAGTATACATTCTGAACAGGCTTAAGGGCGTTGAAAAGGTTGTTATATCTCTGCTATTAGGATGCAGTTGCACTTAGTTATATTTGGAAAAGAAGTTGAGCAGTAAAAGAATCTTGCATATAGCAAATTCCTTCGAGAATTCATCTGAGGCAGACAGCATAAAGATATTCTTGAAGCTGTGCTTGTTATACTTTTGAGCGTTATTGATTAGGCATAAGCTATTATTCTTTTTAATAATAAGAAACTAGTTGTTTCTGTATAATGTATAGCTTTTCTTAATAATCTTCCGCTTGATATATTGTTTCAGAAGCTTTATTAGCTTTAATCTGAGAGCATTAGGGATTGGAATGTGCTTTGCTTGAAAGATCTCGTAGAGTATAGTTCTGATTTCTTGCAAGAGAGCTACTTTCTTAATGATCTTTCCAATTTCAGTAAAGTTCTATGCAAGAGCTTTGATCCTATTTCTCAATATATGTTTGAACATTTTCTTCTCAGCTTTAGAAAATCCTTTACAGTTTTTCTCTTGTATAGCAGCTTATTGATTAGATTTCAGGTGCTGATTAGGATTTAGATTGCTGAACTTAGGTTCAATCTATTTATTATATTTGGTAGGCTTTGTGAATTGCTGAGCTTGTTTTATTTTTTTAATCTTAGTAAGCTTCTATTCAATTGTTCCTTTCAGTACTGAATTATCAGGCTAGGAATCATTAATTAGCTTGATCTTCTTGTTTTTGAGCTTGTAAAAAGTATTAACTAAGCTTAAGATATCTTTTCTTTTCTTCTTCATACAACGTAGCTAGCGTGAATAGCACTAGCTGCTGTGCATTCCATACAGACAAGACTCTCGGGTTGCTCCTTTCTCATTTACTATAGAGCAATTCTTCTTCAACTTCCTTCCTATCAGTTCTATTATTAACTCATTTACAACAGCTGCAATGTCTCATTCAGATATGAATATCACAGCTGTATCTCCCTTCTTCAATAACACTCACTCTGGAATAACTTCTCTGCTGATAGCTCTGCATTTCTCAGGGTGGCTGCTAGCACTCAGTTTTTTGGTATGGTTCTGTATAAACCCTTCCCTTCAAGAAGTTTCTAATTGCTGATCATAATAACCAGTTGTACTTCTCCAAAGGCGAAGCTTATATGGAGAAATCTGAGAATGGAGTAATCAAAGGAAAGCTTGATCTGTATTACAAACAGCATTTCTAATAGTATAGAATGATTTAGCAATATTAATCTGTTATTAATAATATAGAATATTATCTGTTTAGAGAAGCTGCTATAGAAAATATCGGTTTCAAGAATTCTAATAAGCGCTATATCTGATTCATTATATATGTATAAGATAATATTTGATGTTAGCATATAAGACAAGCGCATGCTTGAATACAGAGAGAGAGCTATTAAGCTCATTTCGGCATCTATATTCAGCATTGCTTGTATAAGTTTATTCTCTTTACTTCTCAGCTGCAGAGGGATATATGCTACCGGAGTAATGCTTCTATCTCGAATGCTGCTGAGAGCAGTTATGAAAGCTATTATAGAAGGAAATAAAGATTTGTTGAAAGCTCGAATTATATTAATAATAATGTAATGAGCACTGCAGCAATCCGAAGATTCCAAAGTATACAAAGAGGGTTTATGCTAACAAGAGCGGTGTCAAAGTGCCAAGTCCTTGAATACAGAACTGTACAAGTCTTAATAAGCGATGCAAGTGTTCACTGCCTTTGGGGCTATCAGAGTAGAGAATAATCTGATACTTAGATTGATAACTGAAGAGCTATATACTGAATCTATCTAATGGTAATGAACATGTTCTTATATATTCAGCTCTTCAGTATAGATATGTTGAATAGCAACATATCCCAGTTATCCTGCTAGCTTTGAATAGCATATATCCGAAGCTATCCTTCCTGATTAGCTGTGCTCATAACCCTAATCCTGGGTTATGTAATCAGTGCTTTATCAGGATGTTGAGTCCTTAATACCTAGTTCTTGTTACTCGTGATCTATTCTGTGATCTGCATGTTAGATGGGTTATAACATCATCTCTCTTCTATTAGTTGTTATTCCCAACGATCTTCTGTAAGTATTCTGGCAAGTCTCCGTATTCGTAATCTTGCCTTTCTAATCGAGATATCGAACAGAATCAACAAATTTCATCCTCATGCTGAGAAAACTAAACAAAAGGATTCTCTTCTTTCCTTAGTTCTTCAAAACGCCATTACCATGCCTTCTTGCTCCTTCTGTGAGAGTTGTGGTATTCAGTTCTGTTAAGTCTCCATCGAGGATTCCTCTCGCTGCGCTGAATGCATCCGCCTGGATCGCTCTCAGTGCAACGTTCAAGGATTGAGCGCAGCAGAAATTCGTCGGATAAGCATTCAATACCAACGCCTGAAGAACCAACTTGAGAGTGCTGAGGAGCAGCTGCGCAATGCTGCTGCAGAGATAGGATGTTTGCGGAAGCAGAAGCATCTGTAGTTTGAGAGGATGATGAAAGCTATTCATCGAGGTCTTTCTAGTGTGGAGGAGTTGGAATGTGAGGAAGCTGAGGAGGAGCGAGCTCGCATTGCTGCTGGGATTCGTTCTGTAGTTGCAGAAGAATCTGCTGTGGTTGCTGGAGATCCTTCTTTTGAGAGTTTTGATTGGAATTCCGTAGATGTAAGGAATGCAGTGGTAGATTAATCGGGTTTCCTGGAGAGCGAGGTTTCTGAAGCCTCTGGATCTCGGTTCGGGGCGGAGCGGTTGTCTTAGATGCTAGTTTTCTTTTTCCAATATTCAGCTATCTTTTCCTAAGCATTTTT